AGTTCAGCCTCCATTGCCAGGGCCTTCATGGGAGTAGTAATATAGTTGTATGCCCATAGCATAGGGAGAGGTGATGAACCCCAGCAGGATCCTTGCAATATATGGTGCCATCTTCCACTCTGCCCCAGCCTGTAATTATGTATACAGGTACATAGTTAAAAGCAATATGGTATAAATTGAAATTTGGCTTCTAAGAGATTATCCCGAATGAATGCTTTATTTGCATTCCACCTAATATACAGGGTCTTTCTCTTCACCTTTTGCTCAGTTCCGGATTTTATACACTAAAACAGATGATTCTGCTTGGAAGAAGAAGGTGTTTTATCCCAAACTAATTGATGGTCAGTACCAAGGCAATCTAAAATGGCTTCTCCTATATGGAATTTCTACCGTTGCCTTAAGTCCCATTAGAAGGAAGTGATATTGGAGACATTTGTGGAAGTTTGCCAAATCCATGTTCAGAAAGAAATCTTGCTGTGAGCTATGCTGAAGTAATTTAAGTACCTTTAAGAATTCTAGATACAATGTAACATGTTAATAGTAGGAAAATCTCATCATAGTACATGCTCATGCTTTGCATTCTTCTTTAATCTTAATTGGGAGCTGTCCAGGATAAAGAGTGGTTAATAACTATCATTAAGGGCTGTGTTCTTTAATTTTTAAATCGAGTATTGCCATTGAATTTATTAATGTATATATTATCAAAACTTCCATTATAATTGCCTTTTATGGTTTTCAAGGAACTCATAGTTTAGAAGATAAGAAATCAATTGTGACTCTTAGTTAGATGGAAAGACCAGTTTAAATTTATTTATTTTATTTATTTATCTATTATGTTCAGCTTATAGTCCTCCCTCCTCTGTACAGCAGGGCTCAGGGCAGGTAACAGCAGGTACCAGCAGCAACATTGAAACAATAAATTATTACATATTAAAACCCAATTTATAACAACAGTTTAAAACTAGTCAGTCAGATGTCAGCCAATAATTTGACACAGCTTATTGCGTCTTCTCTCCAAAGAGATTATACTTCCTGTGCGTCCATGAACGTTAGGATAATGTGGCAGTTGGACACCAGGCTGCCCCCAAAGCTGAGAAGGCTCTTGATCTTGTTGAGGCTAAGTGGACGTCTTTCAGGCCAGGGATCACAAGAAAATTTTGATCCACTGAGTGTAATGCCCTTTGGGGGACAAACCAGGAGAGGTAGTCCCACGGATATGTCAGTCCCAGACTGTAGGGGGCTTTGAAGGTGAAGGTTAAAACTAGCACTTTTAACTTGATCTGGTATTGCACCCAGAGTCAGTGCAGCTGGTGGAGCGCTGGTTGAATGTGTGCTCTTGAAAGTGTTCCAGTAAGAACATGTGCTGCCACATTCTGAACCAGTTGGAGTCTCTGGGTCAGCCTCAAGGGTAGCCCTGTGTAGTGCAAATTACAGTAGTCCAACCTGGAGGTGATCATTGCATGGATCACTGTAGCTAAGTCAAAGGGAGAGAGGAAGGGAACCGGTTGTTTGACCTGGCATAGATGGAAAAAAGCCAGTCCAGCAACTTTTGTGATTTGAGCCTCCATTGAAAGCTATCCAGAATCACACCCAGACTCTTGACTGTTGGCATTGAAGTCAGTGGCACATTACCAGGAGTCAAGAGTTGGATCCCTGTCCCAACATCCACCTGGCCCAGATACAGGACCTCCATCTTTGATGGATTTAATTTCAGCCAGCTCTGCTTTAACCAGCTAACCACAGCCTCCAAACCCTTGGCTAGAGTATGTGGGGCAGCATTCAGCCGGCCATCCAGGATAAAGAATAGATAAAGAGTAGTTTTACATTCCTTGTTACAGTAAAATTAAGAATAAACAAGGGGAGGCTGTTGTGAAATAAATTATTGAAATCCAAAATTTACATCAAGATTTGGGGGTTTTCAAAAGACAAGGGTGCTTTTAAATATCTCTCTGAAAGAGGGAAATAATATTACTGGCTTCATATATTCAAAAATGATAGCTTGGCCTTGTGAACAGGAACTGTGGCAAAATACATAAAGAGCATGAGAACATAAGAAGATCCCTACTGGAGCAGACCAAGAGACTATCTCTTTCCCACAGCAGCCCCCCAGATGTATCTGGGAAGCCCAAAATCAGAACCTTGTCCAAGCCACTGAACACAGAGATACTAGTAAAACATTATAGCTAATACCCATTGTTAGACCTGTTCTTCATGAATTTGCCTATGCCACCTCAAGTCATTTAAGCCAATGATAGCTACCACATATTGTGGCTGCAAATTGTATATTATACATTGTATAAAGAAGTATTTTCCTTTGTCAGTCCTGAATCTACTGCCAGTGAAAGACACTGGATGATCCCAGTCAGTGGTATTATGAGAGAAAAAACTGTCTCTCTCCATGTTTTCCCACCATTTATAATTTTGTACTTCTCTTTCATGTCATTCCCCCTCCCCATAGTCATAATTTCTCTATATAGGTTAAATAATGTCCTCTTACTATACATATTTATGGATCTTTCTGCCCACAGTTTGATGGACAGTCCAAACCGTCTAGATGAAGAGCACAGACTGATCGCCAGGTATGCAGCAAGATTGGCAGCAGAGACTACATCATCAGTAAGTATCTTTAATTAGGGGGAAGTAAACTTGCTTCATTTTCAGTTGCTGAAATGAATGGTTTTGCCACATGCAAGAAAGTTGTTTCTGAGTTGGTATACTTCCACCTTATAATATCTTTTGTTACCACTAATGGTCTACCAATGAGTCAGTGTGGTGTAGTGGCTAGGGTGTTGGACTAAGATCTAGGAGACCCAGGTTTGAATACCCACTCTGCCATGGAAGCTTGCTGGGTGACCTTGGGCCAGTCACATACACTCAGCCTAATCTACCTCACAGGGTTGTTGTGAGGATAAAATGGAGGAGAGGAGAAGAATGTAAGCTGCTTTGGGTCCCCATTCGGGAGAAATGCAGGATGTACATGATGTAAATAAATGATGTAAATAAATAAAGGCTAAATTTGCACCATCTAGCAGTGAACACAATAGCTACTTGTTGGTATTTCAGCTAAGGAACAGAATAGAACAATAAAATAACACAGGCTGCGGTCACACGGAACAGAAGCCACACAAGTGAGATGGAAAACAGGCGGAGTTTCCAGGCGCGATCTCACCAGCACATCTGGGAAGCGTAGCACTCCCGTGGCTCAACCGAGGCTTCCAGCCGAATCTGCGTGGCAAAAAACTAGTACCTCGGAGGTACTAGTTTCCGGAAACTGCGGGGCAAGGGCGGGCGTCTGATCGCGTTTCCGGTGGCATCCGGCGCCCGCCCATGTCCCCTTGCAAATAAGGTGTGTTTTTTTTGTCCAAGTCTCTGTGGATGCGCACGCGCACCCAACGGAGCATGCGCATTTGTCATGTACACAAAAATAAAAAACAGTTTGCCGCGGCCCGCGCTTCTTCGTTACACGCCGGCTTTTCCTGTGATCGGCGCCTCTCCCTTGCCATGGAACCTCCACGGTACCTCCACAGGACCTCCACAGGAGGTCTGATCGCGTAACTGCGCAGTAGTTTGCCCCAGAGCAAACAGCCACGCTTCTCCCCCGGAGTTTCCTGCCCGTGTGACCGGGGCCAAATAAGAGCTGATGCACATGTCCGTTATGATCCAAAGTTTTTGGTAAAGTGGATGTGTACCTATTGTTGTTTGTTTGTTTGTTAACTGCTGGGAGCTCCATTCATGGACCTCCCAAAATCTAATTTGTCCCTAAGGAGGTAAAGACAGGTGTCACCATCCAGCACTCTGCAGGTCTCCCATGCATGCAAGGAATGGTTCACTACAGTGTTAAGTGTCGGGAGGACAGCCTGCATACAAAGTGGAGGATTTTCACATAGTATGAGGTGTGCTGCTTGATTTCTGTGGAGCTTCGTGTGCATATTAGAACACCCAGCACTTCATGAAAAGCTCTGGATCGTGATGAATATGGCTGTGGTCAGATTGCAAGGTTGGCGTGGTCTGGCTCTGGCTTTAAGTACTCTGTTGCAGTTTGTAATGGAGAGTTTTAATCATACATCCCACCTTGAACTGGCCTCACTACGCACTCATCCCATAGTCAACCGTTCAGATTATTGCTGCATGGCAACCCAACAGAGTAGGTCATTGGGTGACTTCTTTTTAAAAAATTGTCTTTTGCATATGTGCATAACTGCTTATTCGAAGTACTGCTCCAATTTTGACAGCTGGAGGAGGCTGCCTCCCCCTCTGAAAAAACTCATATTTTCATTTAACCGCTTCCCCAACCTATGTGCTGCAAAGCTCTAGGCAAAGGAATCAGCATGAAAAAAGACAAAGGAGGCTTCTAAGCCTGCCTTTCCCTTCCCCTCCCCTCGCCTCAGAGGACAGCTGAAAGTTTTCTGGTGTGCACAAAGATGCGATTATGCACACATCACTCACTGACTAAAAAAAAAGGAGTGAAAACAAAACAGAGCGATCAGACTTCCCAACCTGGTTGAGCTCACACCAGGGGAGTTCAGACATGATGAAAGCACTGATATCCATAAACACTGGACTTTCCCCAGTGCCTGATTACTCTGCTTCCAAAGCAGGGCAGAACGGGGTGGCAACAACTGGGGCACGGAAGGCAAATGTTGTTGTCTGATCATACTCTTTAAATCCGCAAATATACTGCAACGATATTGGCACGAACTGCTCGTGTCACCACAACCTGTGTTGTTAGCATGTTAGTTGTTTACATATTACATTTTTATATTTATTATCTTGATGTAAGCTGGCCAAAGCAAAGCACTTTTCTCTCCCATTAATTTCAACAGAAGAATAAAGCATATCCTCAACTCCTCCCAAGTGAAATCAGTGGGGCTTAGCACTTTTAACTCTACCTGGATTATGTGAATCATTATTTTAGAACATATATTTATGCACTGAGAATTTGCAGTTCAGTTCTATATGAAGTTACTCTAATCCCAATGAAATCAATGGACTTAGATTGGAGGAACTCTGCATAGGATTTCACTATATATGTAATTTATATAAGACATAAATTTACACAAAATCCCAAGTTCCTTCTTATCTGAATTTGCTCTTTGTTCCCTGTATAGTTCTGTCTAATATTATTCCCATTTATCCAAATCTTGGTTTAATTGAATTAAGAAGTTTCTATGATAAGGTGTTTTCATAATGGCTCCTGAGTTCTAAAGAGAAGAATTTTTTTAAAATTTACTTGTTCATTAATGATTATAAGCTGATGGATAGATTTAGCAGGGGAAAGAAATGTGATTCTACCGTACTCCTTAGTTCAAATGCTGCAGATACTGAAGGCCTGAATTCTGTGCCTTTCAAATAATGATATTGGAGAAGAGGAATAATATGATGACCCGTCATATTAGCCATAGTTTCATTTTCATTGCAAAACACTGATTATCATTCTATGAAAACCTCGTAGCAGAAGAATGATAGACTGAATATGTGCTACACACTGAACAAAAGACCGTGAAGCAGAAACTTAATAAAAGTGTGTGAAATTGTATAAATAAGGCTGGTGTTGTTACATTTTTCTTCCTGTCAGCATATTTTGAACAAGAGGCATAAATGAAAATTGAATGAAACAAAGTTCCCTATTGACCCCACAAAGTATAGTTCTACCATGTGAAACCCAATTTGGCAACTGCGTTAACAGGGAAGTGTTTAAGCCTATGCCATCTAACTTGTGGCGCCTCCTAGGTGAAATGTACACATTCCTGAGACAAGTGAAGAAAGGACCCAAGTAACATAGGTGCTGGAGGCAGAACTGGAGATCATTCACTGACATATTTGACACCATTTCTCTTGGCTTGAGTTGAGGTCTACCATGGCTAATGGCAGAACTGCATGACACATATAGTTTCATGAATAGTTTTCCCCAGAGGCTTTCTTCTGTGGTGCAAGGCATCTGTAGATGCCTTCTGTTTGAGCAGAGGTCTGGTTTTAACTTTTCTGCACATAACTCCTTCCCTAGCTGATTTTTTTTTCTTCAAAGAGTAAAAGATACACAGATGGGAAGGCCACTTTAGAGGAGATTGGTTTTGAATGGGCAGCCATGTGGCAAGTAAAATGTTGAACATCCCTCTTTACCTACAGCTTCTTTCTGCTATAGAAGAAAGCCCTCCAGAAAAGCAAATATGGAGTTACACATTAACCTTTTTCACATTATCTAAATGTGTTCAATAAATATGCATAAAAAGAGAGTTGAATCATACACACACTCATTAAACTGCTTTTATACTGCATCAGATCCATCAGGGTCAGGAGTGTCTACTCTGACTGGCAGTGGCTCTCCAGGTTCTTATGCACAGGGTTTTTTGCATTGCTTATTGTCTGGTCCTTTCAACTGGAATTGAGCCTGGGGCCTTCTGCATGCAAAGCAGAGACTCTTCCACTGAGCAACAGCCCCTCTCCACAAGTCATGGTGACAAGTTCCACATCTGACCTAACTTTCATTGAACGATAGGGACTGCACAAACCCAGCTCTCCCCATGCAATTCAGGATTCCCAGTCATATAGAGAGATCCCAATGCATGTGGATTCATATGTATGCAAGCTGTAGAGGTTGGATCCAAATATTTTTTTTTTTCCTGAAAAAGGAAGGAAGAGCCCCCTTTGACCACCCAAAAAGGTTATTCAGAGAATCATGAGATCTGCATGGACAAAAAGCCATGTAGGTTGGGGACTGTAGTAAGGAAAGGAATTAGGTGAAATTGATGAAAAAGCTGGCTGGATCCAACCCTAAGTGTACATTCAAATGAATACATGTGGGTTGTGACACTATTTGTCGACATGATCCTGCTCCCCTCCCGCAAGAATGTTCATTGCATTCTGAATTTTTGTTGGGGAGGGGTTGCCCTTAAGCCACAGCTGACGTATTGTGACCCTGTAGGGTTTGAAGGCAAGAGACATTCAGAGGTGGTCTGCCATTGCCTGCCCCTGCATCATGACCCTGGATTTCCTTGGTGGTGTCCCATCCAAACACTAACCAAGGCCAAGCCTGTTTAGCTTCCAACATCTCATGAGATCAGGCTAGCCTGATTATATTCACTTACAGCATGTAAAAAGGGGCTAAAAGTGTAGTTCTGCTCCAATGCATTTACTTGAAAGTAACCCCCTCCCCCCGAAATCAGTGTGATTTACTTCCATGTAAACATACATGGAATTAGTCTTCACATCACTACAAAAAGCAAGTATCTCCCATGAGACCTCATGATAACTTGAGCACTAGATTACTTGGTTTGGATGTGCCTAGACTTACCTATGTTTATGGGCTTGAACCTAGTGACAATTTTGTTAATGACAGTTGATTCACATATGTATCTTATCTCTGTTTTCAGTATGTGGGGTTCATTTCTTAAACCCACTTTGCAAAATAATTCTTCTCCATATAGAATTAATAAGACAAATTGAATATACATTCTAGGATTTACATTTGCACTAAACAGATAGAAACTCAGAATATGAGAGATTAATATAAAAATATATTACAGGAGACCATTCCCAGTCTCATAAAATATATTGAGAAACGGATTGTTTTCATTGTGTATTGGAAAGCTAAATACCAAGACAGAATAGTTATGTAT